ACACACACACACACACACACACACACACACACACACACACACACACACACACACACACACACACACACACACACACACACACACACACGTATATACATATTAATTTCCCTCTTATATTATTTTATAATATTATGTGTGATAAGTTAAACAGAAATTGAAACATGAAATGTTTGTAAATACATTGAAACTAAATACATTAAAATGAGAATTAAATAAAAATTTAATTTTATTCAAGAAAGATCTTTGAAACTTTAATTCTGTTATTATGAAATTGCAGACTGTTTACAAAACAGGTTCACGATAATGCTTTAGAAGTACAGTGTCGATGATGATGTAAATAACATCATGCTTACGTGAATAGCATGAAAACTTCTCGGTCAAGTAGCGTTTATTTTATATATACATTCATGGAAATTAAAGGCCGTAAAAAAAATGAGAGGAATTTAAATTGCTACTCTTACATCTTTTCAATAGCAAAGATATTCCGCTTATAAAACTCTTAACGCCCCACAATTATAAATCATAATTAAAGCGACGTGTCAGCTTGATGTTAAAAAAAAATACATCTTTCAAATTCTACTTCAAAACTCTACTTTATATCGCGTTTCATTAATTCTTTTTAATAATATATTATTTCATAATTTGAGTCGATAATTCTTGAAAAATAATTGTTTATATAATTACGAAAAATTGATATATAAAATAAAATCCGTGCAAGATTTCCATACCTTTCTATCGTATAATTTATTGTAATGCAAAAATATAATTTCTTAATTCATTAATTACGCATCATTATTTTTTATTTTCTCACCAAATAATCTTGTATAACGGAGGAACATCGTCATTCAATACAATGATCATAAATTCTGCATTAATCATCACATTAACCCATCCGGCGTTGCAACGCATGTAATAACTAATTAATTCGTTGGAATAATTTAAATTACGACCTATCTGTCAGTTGAAAATTTGACGACGTCAGCTATTTCATCGGATATAATTAAATTGGAGCATATGACGGCTAAAATAAAGCATACATGAAGCCGAAATCAAAATATATATTGTATTTTACAAAGATTTTTCGGATTTTTCACCTGCCGAATCGAACAACCAGATGATTCTGTTAATAAAGCCTGCTAATAAAGCTAGAAATGAAATGTTTTTCACGCTTCGTATTGCACGTAATTTTTATCCGTTATCTCAATGCGTATTTGCTCACGTGCGTACGAAACAAATATTTGAAGTAAATATCGCTAGCTATGACGTTGCACGTTCCGGCAATTTTGCTATTCTCTTCATGCTGCATTAATACGAAAACCGCCGCGCCGCGTCATGTATCATTCGGGAAAAATACGTTGTTTGATCTAATATCCATAAAAAATAAATTTATTAAAAACAAAAAATATTTCCATCAATATAATCAATGTGAGAGAGAGAGAGAGAGAGAGAGAGAGAGAGAGAAAGAGAGATTTCCCTAATTATCAAATTTAAAGAAATTAGTTAATTAGAGAAAATGGTATCAAGCAGAAAATATCTTGCATCTCTTCGTGCTAAATTCTAGAAAATGATTTACCTTTTTTAACGAAGAAAACATATCACTAGATAAAGATATTCCTTTAGATAAAGATATTCCTTTGCCTTTAAGGTTGGTAATTCCATACATCTCGATCAGTTTCCGTTCCTGTGAATCAATCAAGCGATTTTACTTTCATGATAGATCATCATCGAACGATCAATGGAAGGATTAAGTAATTGGAAACATCATAAATATAGCTGGCACGTAATGGCAGACGAGTCTTAAGGATCCATTAATAAAAGCAGGAGAAGAGATAGCCGCTTTCGTACACGGCGATTAATCAGCCTGACGCTCATACCGGGCTTTATGGACCCGGTTAAACATAGCCGCTGAGATAACACGAGAAGTTAAAAAGGCAACGCTTTTAGCATTTTATTCATCGTCACTTGAAGCTCTCCCGTTCCTTCTTTTTATTTTCGCGCGCGCTTCGACTCGGAATCATTTGCGAGTCTCTGCTTTGATACAGTATTTCCGGATATATTCGCCGAGTTACGGCGATCCAATAATTTAGCAGGAAAATTAGGGAATATGTAATTAGAGTTACGAGCGAATTTTCGCATTCGCAGGAAGAGGGATAAATATTCGACTGTCCGTGCGCAGCCAAGGCGAAGCAAATGAAAACTTACCGCTCGAAAATTTTTAATTTGCGAGAAACGTTTCGCGATACGACGTTGCCCTGCTCATAATAGACTTAGTTATTTATCTGTAAAAAAAAGGTAAAACCCAAGATAAAATGGAATATTAAAATGATTTACAGCGTGGCGCCGGTATATTTTAAGACTCGTATGTTTAACGAGACATTAACCGGTTGAGGAGATTTTTAAAATCGATTTGAACATTACACAGCATAAATGTGCGTTAATAGGGCTGATTATTTTCGTCACGAGAGGGAGAAGATAATCTTCTCAAAATGGTAATCGCTATAAGTAATATAAGAGTAATACAAAAATAAAACTAACTGTGTGTATTAATCATTATCCGATGCATGTATACTACCACTTGCGATTGAAGTAAACTTCGATTGAAGTAAACAGTAGATTTTCAACGTTCCAAGACAACTTTCTTAAGAAATTCTATGTTAATCGTGATGACATCCCTTTGCAGAAATGTAATTTATTATTGAAAATTACTTGTTTTGAGTATTAAAAGCACTAAACACAACAACGTTTCTAATACTCAAAATAAATAATAATCATCAACTTACAGTATTAAGTTTCTGAAAGGGACAAAGACAACCGCGTCGAAAATAAAAGTCGAGAGATGAACTACATCCCAATCCGATTGTAGTGCGTAGTTTTAATCGCAGCTTAAACGTTCTCACGATATGCATCCTGTGTACTTCTACGTTTAAGTGTTATTAGATTCATCGATAACAAACTTTAGACAATTACAGAAGGCTTTTGTGTGCATTTTCGATAAAATTGCATTTTCGATAGTTGCATGATAATGTAAGTGTTCTCTCCGTCAATTTCTCTGCGTAACACACCATTGCCTCTTCCTTTTCGTACACGCCTATACTCTGCGCGCAAGTAAGTACATTCTATTTTCAATTTTCTTATTTTCGCTTATCTAACACCAGAAAACGTACGTAAGTTACCTTCACTGTTCTGGCGAAATGAGAACTGCTGACTTCAGCGTAACTTCAGCAGGTGAACTGGGTTACGCGTATTGATGTATCCTGTAGAAATTCTGGAAATGTTAGCCCCGTTAGATGAGTGAAACCTTAATCAAACATAAATCTCACGAAATAAAAAACTGAGAGATATCTAAAGAAAAAAATTAGAAAAAAAATTAGAACGTCCTTCGGATATCTTTATAATACATCCTATAGACATTTTTCTATTGCCTGTGTCAAAACTACATAAAACTGTGAAAAACCTGTAAAGCAAATGTTACACTACGCATTGGAAAGTAAGAATTGCGAATTATAGATTAAAATTCGACCAGTCAGATAACTTTTAACTTTAATCTGTTTCCTTTCGATTAGCTGAATTCTAATCTTCAATTCAAGTCTCAATCTCCAATACGTAATGTAACACGGGCTTAAGGAAACATCTGAATAATATCTCGTAGATATCTTCATGTAGATATTTTTGTTACTAGATGTAGTATATGCTATTCTTACTCATGTATGTGTGCTTTTATCTTTAGCTGTGTTATCTGTCCCGATTATTATATTACCGATTAATAATACGCTTGTTTCGCTTGTCTATTATTTCTTTCTCAACTTTCGCCTCGAGTGTGAGTCTATTCCGTGACAGGTCCATTCGGATGGCACTGAACCGTCGTATGTTGTGACTGCGAGTGTGTCACTATTGAGTGTATGTTTGCTCTCACTCGCGTGGAGAGGCTCGAATTCTTGTCGCGTCTGAAGAATGTTCCGTGTATGTTACTTACTGTATTTACTCGCTACAGTATAGAGAAATCGGTGAAGGTATTCTAGTGAAAGCTCCGACAGGAGACAAAAATAAAAAGAATTAAAGCATCCGAGAGATAGCAGAGAATAGAAAAGAAGGAGTAACTGTGCAAAATGCAAGGCTTAAACGAATTAAAAGCGGACTCTTGTTCAATAAATATAATATCAAGAAATCCGTAAAAATTACATCTAAGGAATGGCATTATTCTTTGGAAAGTGCGCTTAGCGTTAAAATATTTCAGACGCGGACATTCTCACGTCTGAATTTTTGAGTCTCTTCACGCGCACCGGAAACGCGCGAGCACTCGTATAAACGAATGAAAGATTATTAAATATGTATGTCGAGCAAAAATGGAACCAGAGATATCAAGTAAGAAGGTTCACAAGACGGAGACGATTACGATCTGAGCTGAGCTAAAAGAATCCAGGAGAATAATCTTTCATTTTCAACGAGAGAGCTGCTAACAGCGTCTCGCTCCACATTATTTCCGTGACTAATCGCCTTCTTTCTGTATTCTTTCTTCGGGGGATTTTCGGGAACACCTCGATTCAGGATCATACTTCAATTGCATCATGTTCATGGTGGCGAGCAGCGTCGTGCTGACCGTTCTGGTGCTCAACTATCATCACAGATCGCCCGACAGATACGTGATGCCAAATTGGGTAAGAAAACATAATAAAATTGAACTGACTGTATCACAGATATAGTTAATTCTAATTAGTGATGGCATTTAAGTCTGATTAATGATGAATAACAGTATTAAATGCAATAAATGTAGCGTGTAATATTAATGATGCAATGTTGAAATAAACAATGGTAATTTGTCATCAAAATAATTTTGAATGAAGCAAATAATTCTAATAATTAAATAAACATTAATAAATAAATAAACACTAATAAACGTTGATGAATATAATCATTATAGTTGCATAGTTATTTGTGCTTCTCTTTATAATTTTGTGCATTTTCTGTTTGTTGAAATGTGTTTATCATTCGTATAGATAGTGTAGCAGATTATGTATCATACAATAACTAGAAAGAAAATTAATTAAACTTATGTATAGTAAGAGCTTTTTGATTTGCTCTGAAAGAATGTTTTGATCGATTATGTATAGTTAAATATTTTATTCGAATAAAGGTTAATCATTTTAGACATATACATATAATTGATACAATAGAAATAAGCTGCTTAACTAAACGGATTAAACAAGATTGCTTTCGTCATTGTTATAGTGGCATCATAAATTTAATTGCCTTCTATCGCACTCTACAATTGAATAAACGCAGTAATTTTGAAATTATGCAACATAATCGCATTAATAAAATGTGGTCATTTAAGCATATTTCAGATTTTTTTTTAATTCATCATTTTCAATGAAATATTTAGATAATTATAATGAAATGATAAAATCTTATTTATATCTATATCTTAATATTTCTAATTGCGTTATTTGGAGCAAATGGAAATTATTACAAATTTAATTTTTTTTAATAAATCAGGTACAGTTAATTCGTGAACTCTAAATAATGCGAAACAGTTCAAATTATTGCACGCAAAAAATACTTTGTGTAATGGATAATAATACGTTGTACAGTAAGTTTCGCGATGTGATTACTACCACCGAAAACAGTGTTTCTTGAAAGTTTAAAATACCTTCGAGGTCTCTTCAACTCACTCTCGACCAATGCCAGTCAGTTAATGCAGTTAAATTTCTTCATGCAAGCCTACACATGTTTGCTTGGATTGCTTGGGTACTCTGAATTTAAACAAATACGTTGCATTTACAAAACTCCTACAGTATATATTTACATACGTACGTCAATATGTATAATATGCATTGCATAGTATTTGATTTATTATTTCGTTAAAGAAATAACATGCGACTCGGTTTCGAATTTAGATATAAAAGAAGTTAAAATTAAAATTATTGAGTAAATACTTTATTTATGAATTTGTATTTTTTAATGTTGTCATGACCTGAAAGTCTAGAGCTTCCTACACAAACAACAAAGTAATTTATGGACGATCTTGTTTTCGAGATTTGTTAAATTTGATTCTGGTCTCAGAAAAAAAAAATTAAATTTCAAAAAAATTAATTCATATTTTAAAAAACTGATTATCGTAAAACTCAAATTTTAAGAAGTTCTTGGTATTGTTGAGTTTGAATGAATTAAAATAGCTTGAAAACATCGAATTCCGAAAGAGTAATAACCTCCATGGGAAGGATTCTATGTCACAAGATTCATAATTAGGGTTTAAAAATCAGCTTAGAAATTAATATTAATTATATAAATTAATTTAATATTAATTATTTACGTAGCAATAATTCATTTCAAATAAAACTGGAAACTTGATTCTTTATATATCTGTATATTTCTCAATTCAAAATTCCTAATCGAGTTTTATAATAATCAAATTATATTTTAAATTCTGCCATCATATTGAATCTAATATTTTTATTTTTGATCATAGATTTAAATGAAGTATTATTAAATTAATAGCTATGGGTCAAGTTTTAAATAAAAATTAAGCCAATTGTTTACAAAGTAAAAAGGCTAATTCCGCAAAAGAAGTAAGTAATCAACACAAAGGATTAAAGATAAAGAATTAAATATGCATTTCATGTATAATTATTGAAAAGCCATTGTACTACATTACACTAAAATAAATTATTTTAAGCGGAATATAACTGTGGAATATAACTAAACGATATATAACTTTGAATGTTTCGTAACTTTTATTTTAAAAATTTTCTAAATAGGGGAAGTATACTCATTATTCCTTATAATAATTATCGTAAAGTGTTCGTGGCTTATAAACTACATATTGTAAATCCTTGAAAAATATCAAACTTTGCATATGATGCACGGGGATGCCACTTTAAAATTCTATACTCTTCAATTCCGGTTTTTCGTTTTCGTTGCAAAATTCAAGGGATTGAAATTGCGAGGAATTTTTGCTAGAGTGACGATATGATATGTGATGCAATTGCAAAGTTTAACGAGTCAATAATTCGATATTCACGCAGACAAAAGTAGTGTTTCTACAATGGCTGCCATGTGTGTTGCGCATGAGTCGACCGGGCAAGAAGATCACAAAGAAGACCATTCTCATGAGTAATCGGATGAAGGAGTTGGAGCTGCAGGAGAGGAGCAGTAAGAGTTTACTGGCGAACGTTTTAGACATCGACGATGATTTTCGCCATGGAAACAGCGCCGCCAATCCTGCCTCGGGCTATATAAGGTACCACGAATTCTCCATCCATTCAATCTTTTCAGGTCGTTGCATTTGGCGAAAATTCCGCGATGGTTTGCCATCCATTTTCTCGATCAACTGCGCTCCTTTTTTTATTAACACTGGAGTGGTTGTTGTTTGACGGGCAAATGTATTGTTCATGAGAAACAGAGACCATGTCACGTTTTAATCCCATTGGACGAAAAAACAATGAGAGAGAAAAAGAGAGAGAGAGAGAGAGAGAGAGAGAGAAACTGGGCGTTAACGCATATAATAATATTGTGAATGATCAAATGGGTGACAACGAGAGCACATCGAGATGCGCAGACACGTGTCCGAATAAATACCTTGGGTATCCACTAACGCTGGAAATGCTTCGTTGAAGCATCAATCACAAGAACGAATTTTACGAATTGACGAATCAAAGAATGCGTCGAAGCATTTATAGCGTTAAATGAATCTCATCCCTTTGTTGTCGTGTATTCGACCAGCACTTAACGTTAACTTACAGCTCTATCAGGAAAAATCGAAAACACAAGCTCATCACGTTTATTCTACGATAACTATAAACAGACAAGAGATCTATTCGCCCGAAATCCGCTTGAACGACTATGTCGCTGGAATCGAATATTGACATTTTCATGGACCTCGATAAATGCCAACTCAATCTGCCAAACTCGGATTCCCATATTTTCTCATGAGATTTTTGCGGTCTTTTTTCTTCCCCGACTGATTTCCGTGAACCGTTAACAAAAATATTTCATTCCGACATTTTTTTCTCGATCCTTCAATAATCGCTTTGGTTTGCTAGATGATTTTCTGGGCAATTCGTTTTCTCCTCCATCTCTTCTTCGCTTCTCTGTCACATCGTGGAACTATCCGATAACCGAGTTCTGACGTAGTGGTCCAATTCAAATGCATATGTACCGTGATAATTTTAATATTTTCAAGTTCTTTATTCACAAATCCAATGGACGTTTTCTTTAACTACGTTGTGAAAAATTATTCATAACAAATGTTTTTTATAACCTTATATAATTTTGAGTTACATATTTTATTCCTCGATTTGGATTTTCACAATTTAAAAAAATCATTCAATTTCGTTTATTTTAAGCAAAAATTAAAGTATTTAAAATATTATAGTAGCGAATATAGTTAAGAAAATTTCGGAGCAAATACTGATTAAATGGAATTAAACAAATATTGAGATATTTGGTAGACTTTTGATTATAACATAATATTGCAAAAAATTCACGCAAGGAAGAAAATTATTTATTTTAGATTCTTTTGTAATTGAATTAATTGACTATATAAAATAGACTATGTAAAATAAAAGTTTTCAAAGAGACATATATATATATATATAATATATACATACACGCACACACACACACACACACACACACACACACACACACACACACACCACACACACACACACCACACACACACACACACACACTACACACACACCATACACATATATATATATATGTGTGTATATATAAAGATGTTCTGTAAATAGAGATACAATCATAGGGAAGAGATTGATTCTATTAACATATGTGTAATCTAAAACGTAGAATACAATTTTTCGAAATAAAGCTTTATTTTCGAGCAATATATTCAACAATTTATAAAGTAATAAAACATCGTGCTGTTTTATTGTATATTCTTAATTATCAATATAATAAATATGAGCAGAAATAATAGTTTGCAGTTAAATCGTACCCCACAAATATTTACAAACGAATTTTCCTGAAAACAAAGCCTCATATGGAAAAATTTTATTTTTCTAAATTTTCGATTTATTTTTTCAAATAGAATCATCGCCTTCCTGTCAGTCAGTGTTATGTCAGTATTTACGGAATATTTCGTATATAGTTCGCAATTAAAATCTCGTTAAAGAAAAAAATTTCTATGCTCATAAGCAATGTGAATCTCAATGAACATTTCAAATTACCATAACAATTTACAAGTCGTTCCAAATGTAGAACTTCAATATTTATGGTATTTAACTTCATACAAACTTTGCATTATGTTATACCGAGATGGACTATTTTAATAATTACAAGCCGTAATGTGGCGCTTTGAAGAGCCGGAATTTCATGAACTCTCCGATGATCTATGCGAAATGTCTGTTAATGATCTTGAGAAAAAACGTGTGAAACTTTGAGAATAATAATTTACATGATCTTTTACAGTAGGTCAGCGTACGGTACACCGTTGTCGACTAGGCCGGCGACGGTTGAAGAGACTTCGGCATCGTTGCCTCTCAGCGGCATGCAGAGGGAACTTCACACAATTCTCAAGGAATTGCAGTTCATCACAAGCCGCATGAAAAAGTCGGACGAAGACGACGAGATCATTAGCGACTGGAAGTTCGCCGCCATGGTGGTCGACAGGTTGGATGTTTTAAATCTTTCATGTGGCTTCAGTTCAGTCGTGCGCACATGGCGCGTCCGAATCTCTGGTGGAAAATTGCGAACAAAGAAGCTTTTATATTGGAGTTCGAAATTCAGATCCTTGTTCTTCGTACGATGAAAAACTTGTTTCATTTAGGCGCCAGATCGCCGATTCGTCGGACGAATCCATTACGTGATTGTTTCAAACTTTTATTTGTTTTAACTATTCAAAATTTTTCTGCTCAATAATTTCATTTATTTGGATCTCACTTATCACATGAGGTTAAGCGGAAAAATTTGTTTGCTCAGTAATTTCAAATATAAGAAATTTATAATTGGTATATCTATAAGGTTGGAAAGTGACTCATTATTTGTAATGAAGTTTAGACTTTTCACAATATATATATATTCATATATGATTACTTAAGGATTAAAGATTATTAAGAAATTCATGAATGAATTTTATTAATGAATCTTTTAGTAACTTTTAACTTTAAATAATCATATATTATAAAAACGAGCCTTAAAATAACTTTCTTTCAGTATTTAATTAATTCCATTTTTTATAATAATTAATTTAATAATTACTTCTAATTACCTATTATATATTCTACCTCTTCACTATTTATTTAATCTATTATTGAAATATTCGACTTGTGAAACTAATATTCAAATTTCTTTTCTGTAAAATCAAGGCTTTGTCTATTCGTCTTCACGTTATTCACGGTTTTGGCTACGGTGGTGATACTGTGTCGCGCGCCACACATAATCGTCCAGTAATAGACTGCCCCGGTCGAACCGAAAAAATACACAAAACATGCCAGGGATAGCGCCTCCTGGAATATTCGGTAAGAATAAACTTTATATTATATAATTTATCATATAAATAATTGTCTCTATGATTGCACGTTTTGCAAAGGTTTTTTTTAGTAGGTTTTTTTATGCCAAAATTGCCGTTGAGGTTGCTCGAAAATCATGATTTCGCTTGATCGAGCATCGCCGCTAGGTATTTGGTCGAGAGACCGAAATCGGCATGTTAATTTCACACCGCGCGGATCAGATAGCTATGATCATTATGTGCGAATGACGCGGGCCAGATGACTATAACACAGTTAATACTGCGTGGAAATGTTAACAAGCCCCATGTAACAAGCTGGGTTCATTGGCCATCGCGCTGAAAATATTCAATCGTGGCAACGCGAATGTCTCTACTCGCAATTTCGTCGCACTAATTGCCAGTCGGTCCCTCCGTAGCGCACTCCGGAGCACAATTATTTATGTATTAACCTGGATATATATACCATTTGATTACATGATTTCAAATACTCGAACACTCGTTGCTTGATTAACGAAAATTGGCTTTGAATAGCGCGAATCTAATAGCTTCAAATTAAATGTGATTAGTGTACAAAAGAATACTTATTGTTCACTTATATAATTCTATCTATAATTCTATATAATTCTATCTATTAAATTATGAGAGTTTTAACATACACATGAAATAACAATCTACATAGAGGAAAATTCATTGTTTAAATTATATAATTATAACGCTGAAAAAGCTAAAATGTTAATGAGTTCTTGCTCATCGGTTCTCTTGCACACGCTTTCGTATTAAAAAATATCTAGAAAAAGAAATCCCAATAAATAGAAAAAATTATATATATTACAGGTTAAATTAATTTTTGTATTTTTGCTTTTTTTTACTAATCTAGAAAATTTCCGGTCTAATTACCCTTCAATATTTCTCTTAATTTTCCCGAGCTTAACTGCACAGCGTTTACCACAGAGAGGTTTGAAGATTTTAAAGTTATCGGAATATATTAGAGAGATCTCAAAAAGTTAAAAGTTCATTCCTCGAGCTTTAGAATTGCTGGAACTAAAAGTCTAGTTGGTCTTAATGGTAAGTAAAAGTAAGCTCGCAAGAATTGATCTCTCAGTACAACATCTTGGAAAATCCCTCACCCATAAAGTCAATCTCTCAAAAGTCAATAGTCGGACATATCGCGGTACTTCCTTGTCTCTTTTTCGCAGGAACGACGTCCGGCATGATTCGAGGAGGCGACTACGCTAGGAGCACGTCGAAGTGAAAGAAAACGGGAAAAGCGCAGAGAAAAAGAAAGAAATGGACACGTTAGCCTCTTTCGCGCCCTTCTGCGCGACTCACCTCTCTCGAGGGAACAAGGAAACGCGATCTCGCGTTCTCGAATTTCTCACAGCTGGGAACCGCCGATTTGTGCGCCCGGTTCCTTTTCGCGATGTGCTTTCGCTTAGACGCGAAAGGAGGCAAGCAAGAGTGAGACCATTGACGACGTTCGCAGAAAAAGCCTGCACAGAGAGGATGAACTTCCAGCAAACAGCAGCTCGACGGCGAACGCCGTTGTAATTTTTTTAGCGGAGAACATCACGCCTGGGAAACGTTTCCGGATACAAGAGGAGAGACACGAAAGGAATGGAAACAAGGATCGCCGATCGCCGACGTCACGCTCCGTTACGACTGCGTTATTTCGTTTAAGTGACTTAATTAACGTTTCTAGTGCGGAACCGGTAAGATAGTCGCGCGACGCAAACTGGATGGAGATTTAGAGAGATACCTCTAGATCGATAAAATGAAGATAGGTGCAGGCGTAAAAAGGAAAAGAGAGATAGCACGTGCTGTCCAGCGGATCCAATTACGTTTCGCAAGCTCCAATCGATCGCGATATCGACCAGCGATCGCCGTAACTGTTGTTTGGCGATCGGCGGTCGATTTCATTCGACGACCAATGCGATTTCGCGAGGAAGGAACGCGCGACAAGTCGACGGCGTCACGAGACAAAGGAGATCGCAGTCCTCGGAAAAGTGTTGTTGCGGCCTTTCGATAATAGAAACAATAACGATATTTCTTATAATAAAGAGAATAATAATTAACGATAATTACTGTTAGTCGCTTTGCGCGCGCGCGCATGCACGCACGCACGCACGCACGCGCGTTACGACCGAGTCGTAATTAATTAACTCTGCGATCTGTTGAGGGTCTCTCGTAGGGAGCCGAGACGGACTTAAAAATGTTTACTGCCAAATAACAAACTCGAGTTAGGGGTGTTCAACCTTTTCAAACGGTAGGAAAGTAAAAGTGCGGCCTGGACGATTCAGGACGACAGGGTGAACGCGCGCGCGCAGTTATCGCGACCAATGGCAAGAGCCCACCCATAAAGATGAACTCGTCTGTTTCGTTTGACGAATATTTCCTTCTTCCCTCGTGCATTATCCGCGGGTAACGGACGCGATTTAGCGGCGCATCTCTCTAGAAAGGCCGAGCCCGACCGAAGCACGAACGAAACTTATGCCATCAACGATCGCGTGATCGACCCTCTATATGCTCGATATATTTTTCCACGCTCCGTCTTTAATAAAACTCTCCTATTATCACGTGCTCGAAAGCTGACATACGCGAAACCACAAGCAATTCCTACCTCCGCATTTCCGCAAAACCCGCCAGATATTTTCGCACCGCGTATTATTACGATGTGCACGTGTGTTTGTGTGTTGTGTGCGCACATGTGTATGTGTACGTGCGTGGATGTACGCGTATGTGGCACGTGCATGTGTGTGTGC